AGCCTAGCCTCAAAAGTAGACAGGGTGTCTGCCTCACGGACTAAAACCGGTAGTTGGATTCACAGTGGGCACTTGTCCTGATCCTAGCCCTAAGGCTAATGGCTAATGCATCGCAGCAACTAAATTAATCATGTTTTTATGCAGTTAATAGGTAAAAACAAAGTTCCTCCTGATTTGTGTCTCATCTCAGTGAGACAGCACTCTGCTACTTTCACATGTTTCTGTTCCTATCAGTTCCTTACATATTATTTTGCTCCATTTGCACACAGCTAAACCTTTTCCCAAGACGTCCTCACCGACCCATGGTACATCAGGAAGTTTCCCCAAGAACACGCCGTCCTCCAGCGGTTACGACTACAGCCAGGATGCAGAGGCAGCCCACATGGCAGCTACAGCGATCCTCAACCTGTCCACCCGCTGCTGGGAGAGACCAGAGACCTGCAGCACCAAACCCCCGGAGCCGTCCACCAAGGTAAACCAGTCCATCACTTCCTGCATCCCAACAGATCATCAGTGGTGCTGATCAGGCGGTTGGACATGGGCTAGCTTTGACTCTATGGCTCCTTCAGCCCTTCATAAACATGCCTCACTTTCACCATTTATTGTGACACTGCAGGAGGTGGCAATAGAGGTGGATGAGAATGGCACCTTAGACCTCAGCATGAAAAAGACCAAGAGAGACGAGATAAAGTCTCCTGAACCTTCATGTACTTTGGCTTCCTCCTCCCAAACTGTGGGGGCCACAACATCTCAGGACTGCGCCCAGGCAGAGTGGGATGGTCCCCTGGATTTCACCAAACCCAGTGAAGTTAAGGAGGAAGACCATGAAGAGGTACTGAAACCTTTCGTCCCACAGAGAAAAACACGAGAGGGACCGCATGTCTGTGGAAATGTTTGTTTTCAAAGGAGAAATAAAAGCTTTCTAGTCTTTTATACTTATTGTTGTTCTCTTTAGATGGAATACACAGCTCCTTCATATACTTCATCTGAAGATGAGGAGGAGAACCAAGAAAACCCAGGAGAGCGGAAGTACCCTGGTGAAGTTACTACCAGCAGCTTTAAGGTCAAGTTTCAACCCAAAGACAACAAAAAAGAAGTTATTGTGTAAGTATTTAAGTTCTACCACTGAACAATTGATGGTAATTATAGGACACAAGGTGAAGGACAATCATCTGTCCACAAACTAGCGTCATTATTTAGCATTTATTTCAAATGAATCAAGTTGTTTGATCAAATCCAGGTTGGTTAAAAAAGAGCATTTAATATTTAAAGTCTACCTGATCAAGTGGAAATATAGCGAAGGGATTAATGATTCCTTAAAATCCCAAATTTAAACTTTGTTTTTTAGAATCTACAGATTTCTGCAATTTTTTTAAAATAATTTTTTCCTCATTCTGCTATTTGCTGTAAATTAGATATAAATAAATACACATTGATTCCACATAATTCTAATTTGATCATTATAGTTATTCATTTATATTTATAGTTGTGATTAAAATTAGGGGCTGCTCAGTGGAGCGGTGGGTAGCACTGCTGCCTTGCAGCAAGAAGGTTCTGGGTTTGATTCCCAGCCTGAAGTCTTTCTGCATGGAGTTTGCATGTTCTCCCTGAGCATGCGTGGGTTCTCTCTGGGTACTCCAGCCTGCTTGTCTCTGCTTTTTGGACTGGCGACCTGTCCAGGGGGAACCCCGCCTCTCGCCCAGTGACAGCTGGAGATAGGCAGCAGCGACCCCACTTGGGAGTAAGCGTGTTAGAAAATGGATGGATGGATTAGAAATTATAATCAAAAAATTTTTTCAAACACTATCATCCACAATGAAAAGATATTTTATTTACTCTACTGTAGATTATTGTGAATAGTTGGCTAATATAACAATAACTATCCGGATTATCAAATAAAAATCTTTAACTCAAGTAAATAATTCAGATTAACAAACAATAACTCAGGTTAAATATAATTAACTCAGGATAACAGAACATATTAACACATAAAACTCTGTAGAACATATAAACAAATAAAACTGCATTAAGCTCAAATATGAGTTTCAGTTCAGGAACTTTGAATTTATAACTACTTTTAGGATATCTCCCTGCCCAGGCAATGGTTCAAAAAGTATCAAAGAAAAGTAAAATCCAACAGTTTTACTTTTTCATTGTCTCCTTTGGAGCTGATCCACTGCAATGATTTAAGTGAAGGTTTTCAGCATATTATTATACTTATTAGAGATATTCATAAATCCAATGAATTTATGGAATAATAAGTGTGTTTAAAACCAAATATATGATCCTGAAGTGAACCTTTCTTATCCTGCCTGCATTTTGTTGGTAGATAAAACTCAGTGCTGGACTAATTTCTCATCATTGCTTTCTTTGAATCAGATGTCCAACACCAGGCTGCGATGGGAGCGGACACATTACTGGCAATTATGCATCTCATCGAAGGTAAGACCTTGAGTTTTTATGAAGTCAGGTTTGTTACTATTCAAGGTGTTTTTTTGGATTACTTGAACTGACATAAAGACGCCTCCCGTTTCCTGGGCAACACGCTTCTGGTAACATGCACTATCAATCTAAACTGTCCAGAAATAATTAATCCAAGCGCCACATTTATCAGCACCTCCTATTCAAAGCCAGTTAATGGAGAAAATAATTATGTAATGGAGCCTCCTAAAATTTTTTATAATATATAATTATATAAAGAAGACAAAACAAGAAATATATTTAAAGAAATATATTTTGTTGTCATTTTACCTACATAAAAAGTAAAGAAGAAAAAGAAAATTATTCCAGTGACCCACATAAAGTAATAACACATACTGATGGGAAGGATTAGAATATGTTGCATAAATACTTTAAATCAAGACAGTTTATTCATATAAATGACAATTTATAACAATAAATACTGAATCAAATCATTCAAACAGATTGGGTTATTTTATTTTCCATCTAAGGAATCAAAGCTGACTGCATCCAGTGATTGACTTTGCAGGATTCATTCCTCCTGGAAAACCTTTCACTTAGCTGTCTGGGTGGTTTCTTTGATCTGTTGTTGCAAAGGGCTTTAGGATGACTCGTTTTTTAACTTGGTCCCTGACAAAGAAATAATGAACCAAACTAAATGTTTTGTAAATTGATCCTACATGAAGAAGGTGAATTGAACTGAAAAAATGAAGGAAAGGTTTAAGCCTACCTTTAAAAGTAAACAGGGTGTCTGCCTCACAGACTAAGACAGAATAGAAGATCTTAGAATCGTCACCTGAAGGACCTAAGCTTTCTCTAGAAGTCTGAATGGATATATCATAGTAAAATTGTGTGTGGAAATCAAAGGAAATACTTACTTAAATATTTTGGTTGAGTGTTTAGATCAGACTAACAAACACACAAAGGGAGCCATGTACCAACAAAACACAGCTGTGCCGAGCTCAATTCATGGAAGTGGCTCGCTGTGACAGTTCCGGTGGCTCGTCGGCCTGACGTGGCTTTAGTACTGGCTGGCACGATGTATTACTGGCAGCAGCCACTAGACTGACAGTCTGCCACATCAGCTCCACGTTTACTGACACCGTTTGCGCCACTAGGCAGCCACTACGGTGGCAGATAAACTACTTATTGGCAGATAAACTACTTTGTTCCATCAAGTAAATGTGACTATAAAAGTTTTAATATAGTTTTTTAACCAAAACATCACATCATTAAAACAACAATCTACTTAGATGTACTCTAAATAAGTTATTTGCCGAAAAACGGCTTCTGCAGCAGCACAAGCGGTGTCAGTAAACATGGAGCTGATGTGGCAGACTGTCAGTCTAGTGGCTGCTGCCAGTAATACACCGTGCCAGCCAGTACTAAAGCTATGTCAGGCCGAGGAGCCACTGGAACTGTCACAACAAGCCACCGGAACTGTCACAACGAGCCACCGGAACTGTCACAACGAGCCACTGGAACTGTCACAACGAGCCACCGAAACTGTCACAATGAGCCACCGGAACTGTAACAACGAGCCACCGGAACTGTCACAACAAGCCACCGAAACTGTCACAACAAGCCACCGGAACTGTCACAACGAGCCACCAGAACTGTCACAACGAGCCACTGGAACTGTCACAACGAGCCAACGGAACTGTCACAACGAGCCAATGGAACTGTCACAACAAGCCACCGGAACTGTCACAACAAGCCACCGGAACTGTCGCAACGAGCCACCGGAACTGTCACAACGAGCTACCGGAACTGTCACAACGAGCCACCGGAACTGTCACAATGAGCCACCAGAACTGTCACAACGAGCCACCGGAACTGTCACAACAAGCCACCGGAACTGTCACAACGAGCCACCGGAACTGTCACAACGAGCCACCAGAACTGTCACAACGAGCCACCGGAACTGTCACAACGAGCCACCGGAACTGTCACAACGAGGCACCGGAACTGTCACAACGAGCCACCGGAACTGTCACAACGAGCCACCGGAA